ATTTTATACATGACGTGTTCTAGAAAAGTTTTTTAAGGTGCTAAAAAATAATATAGTTCACATAATATTATAATTGAGAAATTATAAGATCGATATAAAGCTGGTGGTGTGCTCAGAATTATTTCATGGCTTGAGTTGTGCTTGAAAACAATGTTTACCACCCCTACAATTAAAATAAACATTATTTTTGAAGGTCGACTCTTATAAAGAATTTGATGTTTCCTTAAAAATCTATTATGTTCATACATTTTCAAATAGTTTTGATAGATTTTCTTCGTTAGTTTACTGTCACTTTGAGGTTTGTTGCACACTAATATTGCTTCCTACTATACGAATTAGATAAAAGATATTTTTTGTATCATGTACTGTCTCATTTTAGAGCTTTTACCTTTTATATTATTTTAGAGAAACCTTAAACCACACATTTTGTTTTCTTTGTATGTATAGTATTAATGTATACGCGGATATATGTGTTGCGAAGAACGGATGTTGTAACGAATATGATGCGATTTTATGATGAATCACTAAATTTAGACCACTCTAAGATGTACTTGTAATTTTATGATGATACGGTATTTTTACAATATTTCAAATTCGTATAATTTCATCTTTAATCGACAATTTTAAATTCCTGAAAATAGTTGTTTTCAATCAAATTTTAAACAGCATATGAAATCCGTGTAATTGTTATAGATACATATAATTTATAAAGTAGTGATTGTCAAATTGAACCGTAATGTTATAATGTGTATTTAGCGACACATACGCTGTGGGATCATATTATACTATTATTATTATTACTTTCTTCGCAGCATCCAATATCACAATTACAGTGGTCGTATATATCATTCACATGCCGAAACAGAATAGAAAATCGAAATCCGAAACCTGTTTTTCATGTGTATGTACATACTATAGATACATCCTCGGCAGCTGTGTGTGGATACACGTATCGCATTCCGACCTACTGGCCTACATGAAGGCAGGTAGAACCGCAACAGTGAGGCGGAAAAAGGTCCCTGACTTCTCCTCGGGCGATACCACCAGAAATAATGGCCAAAGTTGGATTGTGCGTTTCGATTTATCGCGTGCGCTCAGACGATTTGCTTTTCAACATTGCACACATGACTCATGCCCTTCAAATATCCCATGTATGTGTTGGACGGCCAAAGGTAAAAAGTGAAATTCTTCCCCAGAGCTGTTTCGACCAATACCATAAAAATTCCTCCTTTTCATTAATGATCCTTTTTCTTAACACTAACCGGAAAACACCGTATCAGTTCATAGTTGACTGAGGACCTCATTTAAAATTCTTTTTAAATGTCCGTCGAAATTCATAAAGGTAATAGCTGGTACGATAAAATTCTATGAAACCGATTTTCTCACGTTTTTTTCCTTTAACCCCCTCGTTTCTTATACACAAATCGTGTATCCTTTAAAATGATGAATGGTGATTTCCTGTCTATTATGTAGAAATATTTAATATTATATATTGAAAAATTGAAAATACCTGTATGAACGTTAAAATACTATCTTTAAAAAATCTGCCACCCTGTTATTGATAAATTGTAGTTTTAATAAAACTGAAAAATCACAAAAATATCCCGCTTAACAATTTTGGTAAAGCTCTAAGCACGAACATTTTTTTTTTTTTTGAATTTATAGCATTCTTTTTTTTATATTTACACTATAATTAGTATACTAATATAATTAATAAATTCAATTTCTTTTACTCGTGATTTATTCTTTCGTTATTTTATTCTTGAGTCCATTAACTAGTACATTTTTTTTCTCAATTATATTTTATTAATTTTTAAGTTAATTTGGTATACCAGTAATATTATCAAAGCACCGAGAATACAAAACTGAGGGGCTGTGAATTTAAAATTGCAATAGATTCTTTTAACTGTAAATAATTTATTGATATTTAATCAATATAATTATTATTTTTAAGAATTCAGAATCATAAAAAAAAAACAATAAATAATATATTGTAATAAATATTCTAAACATAATTCAGCTTGTAAATAATTACAAAAATAGAATGATTTAGATACTAATGTAAAATGAACGTTAACAATATTCGATAGTACACATACATAATAATGATGAAGTATCATAATATGTGCGTAATGTATGTAATATTATATAGTGTATTGAACTTGCGCTGAGAAATTTTTTTCAAACCATTTTTTATCTAAGACGAATATTTTTAACTCGATACACGCCATACTATAGGTTATATGGCTACTTAAACTATTGTGAGATTATATTTCCTATTCTTTTGTGTATGTTCATTAGTGAACTAGTAATCATTCCCATATTTTTGCCTGACACCGGAAATAAAATGCTATTTAGTTTTTTACAGAATAATGATTATAGATATAACATGATGTATACAACAAATGGGTTGTGTTGTGGTACCCACGTAACGATCTCATATAATACATATTAGTGAAAATTTCGTTAAATCATCTTTAAATTAACACATCTCATTTGTTTGACTATTCGTTATGTTATTACACGTAAACATAATAATCCAATTCTGTATTACTAAACTGATGCTTTTATTTCGGGCCATGTTATTAGAGTTTACTACCGTAGATTGTAATCATAAGGAAAGTTACATTGTTACACAACTGACACTAGTGATTATTTAAGCTGCGCTTGTTATAATCAGCAACTTTTAACTTAAATATAAGTATAAAATAACTGGTTACTTAAAATTCAAATTGTAGTTATCTATCTTAGCTATTTATTCTTTAAATTTTAATTTTTTTCAAGATTAGTACACTTTTTGTAAAACGTGACAAAAAATAATCATAACAAGCAAGACTAGAAAAAAATCCTAAAAAATCGTTTTCCGGATCGAAATCCTTTGAGCATTACAAAATCGATACCCGTATTAAACTCTAAAAAAAAAACTGTAAAAACTGTAACCTTGATCGAAACAGAAATGTCAGTATAATTTTAAATTTGGTTAATTTCCATATTTGGAACGATTTTCAAGAGCTATTAAAAGATGTATCTTTATTAATCAATTGTATATTTACTTATTGTTATTATTTTAAAATGTACTAATATTCTTAAATTAATGTTTAGTTATCATTCAAGTAATAAAAAATTATTAAAACTTGAAAACGTAATGAGAAGTTTTTCTTCGAAAATATTATTTGTTAGCTTCATTACGAAGCTGAGTAGGTATTGGTTTTGTGATGATGTGCGTTTTTTTTACGCGTGTAAAAAAACATGTTTTCAACTCAATTTTTTTTAAATATTTCATAATGTCTATTCTATTTTAACGTATATCGAACAAAAACTCTTCATTTTGGTTCCTTACCCTTATAGTAAATATAAAAAAGAACAATTTATAAAATATTCCTTTATATTAAAAAATTAATATTTTTAAAGTCTTCTTAAGGAAAAGAAGCCTCTACTTAAAAACTGTCTAACAATGATCCTGATCCTGATCATCCTGATTTTTGTTACTTTGGTCAAAATAAACAATTGTTCGTAAATGTATTTAAAATTAACTTTTACAAATGTATTTAATAGAAATCAATTTAATTAGTTTCGCAAAATTTATTGTAAGAAAATTAAAAAGTGACACTAACATAGTAATCTCTAGTAGTTTATATTTTTAATTTTATTGTATTCAATAAATAGTGCAAATTATTAATATTAAATGTAGGACACAAAAATTGAACAAATATATGTGTTCACGTTTGTAATTTAATAGAGTTACAGCGATCGGAAGCGATACCTTTTGTGAAACTATAGATGCTACTTTAACACAGCGTATCCAAATAACGTAGGTGGAAAATTGCTGGCGGCGCTAACGATCAGCACATTAGACCTATTTAACAGACAAAAAGAATCACATAGCTGACTCTGATACTAGGTAAGTATAATAACAAAAAATAATAATCATCACATTATTATGAACCTACTTTTCGTCACATAATCACCGTCCAAATGATCATGGATATACAACGTACTTAAGTAAAAAAAAAACTCGTCAATACCTCATTCAATTTCCATAAATATTTTTTTAATGTATGGCATTGCTGTTGACGGCTTGTTCAATGGTTAAGATATTAGCTTCTTAAATTTATTGTTATTTCTAGTAGGTTTGCTACTTTAGGTTTATAGACTAAAGAAAAAAATTAAGATATTTTCACTACAATAAAAACCTTACGACACAATCGTTATACGAAACACCTGGAGATGTCCATTACTTCAAATAATTGATATTGAGAATTTTTAAGTTTTTTAAATTTGAAAATATCATTAAAATGCCATTTTATATTCTAAATTTAAACTGTAGTATTTGAACATTAGATATTAAAGTAATAATAAATATTCCTTTAAATATAGTACTGATATTACTCCAATAAGAATACACTCAATAAAAATTAAAAATTCAATTGAGAACATTTTTTCCCTAAGGATTATAATTTTTTAAAAAGGACGAATTCCTATTGGAAATTTGCAATTAAAATGTGCATGTACATGGAAATAATTAATGAAGTATAATTGCTAGTAAATAAAACGTAATTGTATTCTTATGAGATTTCTAAACTTTTCTCATGATTTTTTTTTTATATATTATATAGTTTATCATTTTTTTACCTAACTAATAAAAACTGAAATTATAGTTAATATGGTTTAATTTAAAAATGTTAATAATTATAACTTAATAATAACTAAAAGAACTAATTTTCTACTGGTTACATAAGTCTGGACATATTTAATTGATTGGAATTAAAATGTTTAGAAATATTTTTTAAATAAAATAATAAATATTCAAAAAATGTGTTGAATCTAATTTTTAAAAGTACTTCTGTTCTAATTTGCATAATATAATTGAATGCAATAAAATGGGGAACAAACAAATTTTTCTCGAATTCCATGAAACGTAAACTGACATTGCAACAGTTAACATGTTTTCTCCCACGAGGAGTCGTTAACCGGCTTAACGAACTCTAGCCGACTCTTCAAACACCCAGTCTCCGAAGAGTCTCTCACCGAACTAGTTTTGCTTGCGTATTCACTCGTGCATGTCGTGGTCAGTGTTTGAATAGGAAGACACAAATGTAAACAGAACCCACTCGTACTGATAGCGTTTATACATATTTTTGTTTATCTTTTTTTACCGATCGTGTGTTGATTACATCATTGTTATGAGTGAACAATGAACAGATACTACGAGGCATACCCGAGAAGTGGAACCATGCTTACCCTGCCTCCACCACCCTTAGCTGACCCATCGGCTACATGGAACTCTTACAACTCGGAGCCCGTAAAAGCTCTTGGAAACCGTATTAAACCAGACAGAAACAGACATGCTACAAATGTGCAAAAAATGCAATGGCGTAACTCCAACTGGGTTGATGGATTTCCCGAACTGGTGAGTTCAATGACCATTGCCGATGTAAGTCCTAGATTTGCGGTGAAACGTATTTTACTTTTGTACGAAAATGCTCAATACAGAGAAGCAGCAAATTTTGTTAACCGCCTTAGTCACAACACGTTCAAAGCTATTTTAGATCAATTGCCTATTGACTTGTTCATTGAAGCTATGCCTCATAGTCTTTCCATTCTGGAAGCTCTATACGCAAAAGTATTTTTGTCATCCGACTGTGGCGTTAAAGTATTACGGCCTGACAACGTACTCCTGCAGATTGTTAAGCTATTCACGTGTACCACAGGTGGTACAGAAAGATGGTTGGGTAGTACTAGAAAGCTTTTAAAAGTAATAGTTTTATCGGAACCTAAACTGCGCAAAGCACTTCAGGTGCGTCGAAGATCATTAGATAAAGCAGTCGAAGGCCTAGGTCAACATGGTATGGTGGGTACTAGCGATGAAACATTGACAAACTTACACGATGCACTTAAAGCTGAATTCCAAAAGTTAGTAGACACATATAAAGCAGCTCTGCTTAAATTAGAAGAACTCAGCCTTTTGGGTAAACGTGATGGAGTAAGCAAAGGCCCTGCACCTGTGCAGGCTTCTCATCAACGACAACTATCCCTCAGACAAACCGATATTCAGGAACGGTTAATAAAAAATAAAACACTACTAAACGTTGTAGAGCCTGTTTTAGAGAATAAATCGATGGCCATACTATTAACAATACTAAAACGCCGTGTTGAATACGACAAAGATGCCTTGTTCCAGTTTACCCAGCTCAAGAAAGAACTTAAAGTTGATTCGGAACCCGTTATTGCGCCTTTATTAATGAGATACTCACATGCGTGCGAGCAAGTAAGTTGGGAATAAGTTTAAGCAAATAAGTTTACACATAATTATTGTTCGATTAAAAGTATATATAAATAATGATGGGTTGAAGTTAGATAATTTTGGCTAGTTCAAATTTTTTAACAGTAACATTGTGATGCGGGAGGACGTGAGGTTGTCATAGTGTATTAGATTCGTAGAACTGTCGTACACGAGATCAATGACCGTGGGGACAATTCTGCTGTTTAGCTATCGAAGTGTTATTATCAAGAGAACTAGTTATACTTACTAACACGCGCATACACACATCCGTTTTTCTCACATATTCATCTTTTCCATTATGTTCATTCTAAAACGATAACGTGGTGTGTGAATGTTCTGACATCCGTGGTATAATTTTTGTGTATAGTAACTGTAAAATTTAAGGCATTACAGACACGTAATAAGGTAATTTTCCGAGGGTACCATGTAATTTTTCTTATTTTAGAATCGGTTTAGTAGTATTGAAAATATTATATCGTGTTGTATGAGATATAAGAAATTGTACAAGTGACTCTATAGTAAACTATTTTTAAATTTATCTTAGTATTAAACTATTTGCATCATAATACGCTCGAGTGTTTTTGATGATAATGTACTCTTTATTTGCATTTTTTTAAAGATTGATTGTGTAATTTTATACTATTATTTAATTTTTTTATAAGTTATAATGGAATATCAACTCTTTCAATAATGTTTGTTAAAATCTCCATGAATAATATTAAACCATTTTCAAAAAGTTAAACATTTGAATAGATCCATTCATAGCTAAGATAAAAATGAAAAACGTTTCACAAAATATCATGAATAGAATTTCATAACATATTTGTAAATAATGTATGTTTACCATTTATATAATATAAAAAATTTAAACTAAACATAAGTTATGATAGTAGTAAAATAATATTGTAAAAATGTCATTATAATCACTTTTGGGTTAAAGAGTTATGCTGAACATTGCCTTTGAAAATAAATATTTGCCTATTTAAAATTTCTTGGTCGGACCATAAAAATATTTAGGCAAAATAATGTTCATATAAAATTATTGCAAATATAATAGCCAAAGTATAAATATATAATTTCTATATTTAATTATAATTTTTTTAATATTTTAAAAGTTTCCTGACAAGTACATAATAGAAAATTTAAATTTTAAGTCTACATTTTTTATAAATGATGTTTAAACAATTAAAAATTATTTCAAAAACAATTTCACACGAAGAAATTATTTACTATAGCAACTTTACAATCAATTCAAAGGTAAAAATAATTTATAAATAATTTTTCCATGTCAAAAATGTATAATCTAATCATTATTAACATTTCATATTTTCATATTATTAAAAAAACATTTGTATATTTTTTGAATAAGAGACTCAATGCAATTATTATTATTAAATATATAATTGCGTTTGTTGATTCAAAATATTTGTATTATATCAAACATTATAAGACCATTAATATTAATGATACACTTAAAAAAATCTTACTATCTCTTACTGTTTTAATAGGAGTGTGTAATATATAAATATATAGGATATTAATAAGAAGTTTAACACTAATCGTGATTGATGATTTTATTTATACAGGCTTACTGACAAAAAATTAATTCTCATTCTATAAGAGATGTTATTTGATATCACTATATAAATAACCATTAACAATTCATACACTTATTATACTAACTTTACAAAATAATTATTTTTTCAAACACAATATTATTACTCAATATGTTTTACATAAAATTACATAGTCCATTAATATATTAGTCCATATAGTTACAAAACATCTTTCATAAAAAAAAGTTTAGGTGAAATTTTTCAAAAAGTTATATATTTATCATTTTGTAGTCAGCTACCCAAGTAGGAATTGCCCACTTGCCCCTAAGTCTAGTCCGTCTATTATTATTTGAGGTTTCCAGAGTTCTATTTTAATAAATTAAAAATAACAATACAAATATCTAAAGAAAATCATAATTAGGTATTCGAAAAAAGATAAAGGAAAATGAAATTTCACTAGTGTCATAAACTTTGAATTAGAAGATTAGCTTCTAAGCTCAAAATTTACGAACATTTTGCGTTTACTGAAGTTATTATGTACATAATTTAAATAAAACTCTTATAATTTTCTATTATTTATTTATTTCGCCCACGTTTTAATTAAAAAATAAGAATACTGAGTATACACTTAAATTCAAACAGTAAATGGTTTCTGAAAAAGAAAATCAATATTAAATAGTTTTGAATATTTATTGCTATAGTAACAGTAAATAGTTAATTTTAATGCTATAACTTATCTGTGTTATGTTACCTTACAAAATAATAATTTTTAATTTTATTAAAATTTGTAATGAATATTTGACTAATTAAAGATTTATGAAAAATAATTACCTAAATTGTTTTCTTAAAATGGTAAAATATAAACACTATTATAAGTTCTAGAGAATATAATTGCTTTAAATAAAATAGTTTCATTTTTATAGTTGTACCATAATAAGATTTTATTGCCATGATTTCACACATTAATTTTTACAACGTACTCATACCTTTCATTATGCATTACAACCCATTCACATTTGAGTATTTTTATACAAATAAAATCGTATCAAAACTTTTAAAAAAGTCTGTAAAATTGGTTTTTAATTAATGAGCCTTGTGGTTCGCACTTTTTTATAATCAAATAGTTTAAAAATATCCATTAAAAACGAATGGGGCACGTTGTTTTGGTCTGAAACAGATTAATAATGCGTTTTTTTGCATTGAGAGTTTTATTTTTTTTCTAACCAACATTCATTATTTAGTTTTTCCTACTGAACTTTTTTCTTAAATAAATGAATTTGAAAATCTATGTACTTAAAATTATATCTATTTTTATAACAATACGATTGTTTATAACTTCACTATTTTTATTAGCAATACAACTGAAAAAATGAATATTATGTTGAAAAAAATAGTAAAATACTTAAGATTCTCACCCAAAAAATAATTTTTAAAGGTTAAACATTTTTTCTGGAAAGATAAATTTTATTAATTTTTTGCTTAGTAAATTCAGTTGAAATAAAGTGTTTTGAGAGTAATTTTGAAAAATCGTTATGAAAGAAGAACCCATTATAAGATATCACATGTTTAATTTTTATTTTTCAAGTTTAATAATACTATACCATTTTTATAGTTCAATATAACTTGGCCTACGTCATAGATCAATACTGCCTTTAAAATTTGCTATAAAATAACACAATTTTTGTCCATCAGCGTAATTTTATTTTAATATTAAAATATATCTCAAACTCAAGTTTTCAAACTAATTTATACCCAACATGGATCTAGAATTTTTGTATGGGAATCCGAACATCTTTTAGATGTTAAAAATAATTTTTAATAAATTTTACACCCGAGCAGTTTTTTTTTAATAGACATCGACAGTTTAAATGTGATGCTCCTTAAAAATTCTACAATTTACTTATAATTATTGAACTTTTGCTTAACGATGTCTTATTAAAAATTTTTAATAACCTTTTTTTGTTAAATAATTAGTAACCTCTGTAATTTCTAAATGAAAATTGTTCGGGTAACGAATAATTACAATAAAAGTGATTTGTTGACCCACTTTTAATTTATAAAACATAACGTTACAGTGATATTTTCAAATTGAATTCCACTTATGCCTGTAGTTACTTTTATACATATAATTATTATAAAGGTGATACAAATGTCGATGAGAAAGTATCAACTGGTCTTGTAAAACAAACACGAGGCAGTTGTGAGAATTTTCGTTATATGGGCTGTATCATGTTCTGTGATGTCTAGTACCGAGATAAATTCAAAGTAGAAATTACCACTGAAACTTATCATTAAATATTTTTAATTTCCTTTTTTATCACGATTTTCACCACGAAAAATTATTCTAATATCATATTTACCAAATGATGATACACTTATGTAATTTTGATATTTCAATAGGTTTTAGAGTTAATGAAAGAAGTAGCCGAGGATGAAGATTCTAGTGATATATCTGGATACCATTCGGATTCTGACAGTGCCATAATGATGTCGGGAAATTCTCCCTACGTAACAAAAAGAGCAAGACACAATTTTATATCGAGATCGGGTAAATATGTCACGTTTATGACGATAATGGTAAACTTACACGGTTTATATATTTCACAACAACAATAAAATTTATTGTGCACGAGGACAAAATGATTGATATCGAGTCTTAACTAAATACGACTGTTCAGGGGTAATAAAAATAATTAATCAATAGACATTTAATATCTCAATTTAGTTTGAGAAAAAAAAACCGTTTTAATTTTCTAGTTTTTGGTTGCTAATAAGTATGTTTATTAATACCACTCTTCAATTCATTAAGGAATTTATGCGTTATTTCGATTAAAAAGAAAAATTGGGTATACATTAACAAGAATAGAGCGTTTTTTAATTTAATCGGTTATTCATTCAGATCGGGTATCTTTTACAATTAATTAGTTTTATAAAATCGTACAACTCGTGATTCAAATATCTGTTACTGTTAATTAACTATTCTACATTCTTACTTGCTTGAATCGTGACAACAGACTGATTCAAATTTTATTCAGTGAATTTTCACCGATTTGGGTTATCATAATTCGATAATTGAACAATAAAAACGTTTCAAGTATATAATTGGACAGACGAATAATTTTTTAAACCGACATTGATGATTTGAGAAAGTAATAACGACAATTTGATTCGGTTTATTAATATTTTAAGTTTACATAGGCCATAGGAATTCATATAAATGCATGAAACCAACAAATTTAACGCGTTATTATAAATTGATACTTGAGTCAATTTTTATGGAATTATATCCTTTGTGATGACCATACGACACAGTACAAAGCAAAGATTTGTGATGGTAAACTGTACCCAGTCAATCACATATAATGCAATATTTATTTTATATTATATTCATTAACCTACTCTATTTGAACTATAAACGCATATTAATCAGAATTCTGCATGGGAAATGATACGATACAAAATATTTCTTCTCAAATTGAAAAAAAGATTCTTGCGTTGGCGAGCATTAGATTCCTAGAAAAAAAAATCGTTAACTATGTTCGGGCCGGCCGTAGGGAGTAGTTGATATCGTTGTCCAGCATTTTTCGCTTCCGTAACGCATTGAATTAAAAAACAAATACAAGAAATAACGTTAGAATGTCATTACACCTGTTCGGCTGTAAACACTTAGTAAAAATAAAAAAAACAATATTATAACTATAGACATTATAAAAAAAATACCGCTACGGGCCAATTCTATGTATGCACTTTGTACAGCCCCCACGTGACACAAGTTCATTGTGACCCATTTTGACCGTGACCCTCATATGATCGTATCGCATCACGATGCGGGTGCACGCCAAAATCGCGTAAACATCAAATAACAATAAAAAAAAAAAACTACCGACTTTCATTTTATGCGAATTAAAAACATATTAAGTTGTTATTGTTTTTTTTTTTTGTTAATTTGAGTAATTATTTGTAAATCGGGTAGCATCACACGTCCGCACGTAGAATGTTTTGCCGTGTACCAACACGAAAAAAAATTATTAGAGAAAGCGATGAGTGTCCATTGGCATTAAAATCGCCATTTTTCTCGAGCAATGAATGTTATATTCACATGTATGTGTGTCCGCATAATATGTGAAAACTTATTAAAAGTATACATTTTTAATGACTTTTTTTTCTCAAACGTGTGAACCGAATTCCGAACGCCAATAAGTTAGCTATTTAACGCGCCCAGCCGTTAAGAGCATTTTATCATTTCTACTACGATTACGTTATTAAAAAAATCTCATTCGCACACTATCACGCGAGGTAACATACACTTAAACGGCGATAATTTCATACCATAACATATAATACACGCCTATTAAGAAATCTTTAAACCGTATACTTAAACGGATTCGTTTGGCCAAGGCACGTACACAAACGGTTGAGGCGAATACATAAGAAACGTTTTTTATGTACGGCAGAATTGATGCGTCTGACGATTTCATTTTTATGTCGTTCAAAAAACAAAATGGTTTTGGAAAAACAAAACTTTGTGAGTTTGTTTATAGTATACAAAACGTTCATCTAAAAATCTAATTACACATATACAATCATGTAACAAACAGCCAATTAGACCTAAAGCCATAGCAATTGAAACTGTTGGGTACTCGTATAAAAGTAACAATTACTCCAAAAGTTATTCCATTACTTTAAAAAACGCCCTGATACAATTCTGTGGTTACCTAGTGTTTTATTGATACTGTATTAAAGTCCATGTTACACGAAATTTATGTTTTGTTCTGGGAATTTTATGAGTTCTTAGTATGAAATAAAATTCTTGTTTAAATAATACTTTTTAACATGTCACAGAGCACTATGCGTTTGCGACAACAAATTTTCTTGAAAAAGACAAAGTTACTCATAAATTATTTACGACATTATTAAATAAAACCACAAATTCTAGTATAACGTTTATATTAAATTTTACTATATTAAAAATATAAATGATGTCTTTTATTTTAAAATGTGAATTTATGACGATTTGAAATAATCTCATAAAAATTAATGAAAATAAATTATTCATAAACAACACACCATCTTTTTTTTTGGTTCATAACAGTTTGGATGACCCGAAATGCGTTTAATTTAAATAACGGAAATGTATTATAGCATAATTTTGACATTATATCATGTCAATTGACACATAAATAATAAAACGGCATTAAACTAATAATTTTACAGTTTTGCATTGAGTTTAAATTGTTACACATTTACGTCAAGTGCATTGACTATTTGATACAAAATACAATGACAAATATTCTATATAACAACAGTATGCATTAAATTTGTTTTTTAAATAAAAAAAAACTCGAGATGTTCGTGAAATAAAATCGTTCACCAAAGAAATATGTATGTTTCTGGAAGTTCCTTAAAACTCGAATATCTAAAATAAATAAATTTCACTTTTACTTACTCTTTATTTTTCTTGACAAAACGCTTATTTTGAGTTTTATTGTTAGACAAGATTTCGACATTTATTTTATCATTTAATTATGTTTTATAATAAAAGTATTTCAAATCGAGATTCCTTAAAAATGCAATTAGTCAAATAAAGCTTATCTAGTAAAAACAGCTAGTCACATTAATGTTTAAAAGAAGTTGTGGTTAAGTGCCTACGCGTTAACATCTCTTAAGTATTATTAATCAAATATATGCGAAATGACGTTCAGAATTAATTTCCAACTACGGAAATGGTATTTCGGATTATCAACTTAAAAATGCATAATGTTGACCGCCTTACACAAACTAGGTTTCAAGATTCTATTAGTATTTTTAAATGCTTAAAATTCATATTTATATTATATTTTAGTGAGATCGAGTAGTAATCATAGCACGAGGACCCGATTAGTGTTAAGTACCGGATCGAGTTCCGCAAGTCCTCCAGATGGCGCAGAATCATCCACAACAGGTATGTAAACTGATAGACAGCTTTCCTGTAATGTTAATTCGTTATTATGCTTGCACATCTGTCAAGCTGTATTATTTATTTAATTATTTTCGCTTCTATAAAGTTCATAGAAAGCGGGAAATCTCCAAATGAGGTTATACAAGATCCCGAGGGATGTTATTTCCTTTTTTATTTACATTAATCCTAGGTAGTACGTGAGATACGGTAAATTGAATAAATAATGACAAAGATCAGCTGTCTGAGAACTCGTGTCATTTCGACGCCCATGTTCGTAAAAAAAGTATCCGATGAGATGCCGATAAAATAATAATTTATACATTCGCCCAAATAAATATGGACCAATGAACTTAACTTTATAGATTATCATTATTTTGGAAAGTTAAGGTACACCCTAATGGCCCGTTCGGTCGTGCTTAAGAGAAAGTCGTTTGCTATTATAAATTGAAAAAGAGATCGATCGATCTGCACTTGGACTTATGATTGTGACTGATGGGCATCAATAAACACATCCGAATTCGTCTGGGAGTAAAATTATTGTAGGCGTTTTGCATATATTTAAAGCATAATAAATTTTGGACGTATTACTTTTAACTTGTAAACAGAATTTTAAAGTAATTCAATTGACAAACATCAACGAAATTAATAAATCGACCAAAATATTTTTTGCTCGCTTCTAACTATTTGGTGTATACTTTTTTCTGCTTCAGCGACACCTAATTGGGAATGGTCAACCGAGAAATCAGTAAATACGTTGACCTGTTGTCACAAGTGCGAACCACAAGCCACTCTACAGGTGCAAGCAATAAACAACACTGAATTGTTAGCCCTTCAAGCAGAGTTAGAAACGACAAAAACGGAACTAGAAAGAACCAAAACTAAGTTAGAATCAGCCACCAAAGCAGTTAAGCAGACACAAGCTTCAAAGTACGTCAACGATATAAAATTTATTATTAAACAATGTATTTATTTTAAAGCACATAAAAATTTAATTCATAGTTAATTATAGATGACAATAATATTTGACTTTAAAAAGTGCAAAACAATTCTGTTAAATAAATCTTTTTAAAGTAAATGTTGCATTTCCTTATCAAAGGAAACTAAATAAACGCTATTTAAACGTCAAATTTGAGTGATATTTCGCTCGACAATTTTCTACTGTTAATTAAATAAGAATTTTGCTTTATTAAGGCTTTTCTTTTGAAAATGTTCACTACAATTTAAATTGGAACCGATAAAGGTCAACATAAGAATTCGCAATCTTTTTTTCAAACATTTTTCTCCTAAATTAAATTAATAAGTTTCATTTCATTTAAACTTACTAGATTTAATAAACCAATGTTGATTTTATATTTTTGGCTAGAGATTTGGATAAAACATAAATTTAAGTTGGAGTATTCAATTAATTATTTTGGTTTGTATTCGAATAACCCAACATAACTGTATGAATCATTTTCTCAATTTCATTTATAATAATTTTGTGAATATTTTTCTTTTCTTTTTTTTTTATTGAAACTTTCAAAATAATATAGCATAACAATTAATGAGAAATATTTACAATCAATAATACACAGTTAGATTATTACAGAAATATATGATAAGAGAGACAAATAAAGTTTACTAAATGTATTATTAGTGTTACAATATATATAATTAAAACAGTTAAATTAGAAATCCAACTAAACAGCTGAGCGCAATAACTAGTGTAATAACATCAGGGTACGTTGAGTTGAGATTATGGGAACAATTAATTGAGGAGATGTTGAGGCAAGATAAACAATTAAGTAAAAGGAATAGTTAAATTCTAAAGCAGAAAATTGAAAAAGTAGATTGGAAAAGTCGCACAGAACTTCGTCGTCGTGTTTGGGACAGACAAATTGTAGGCATGAGAAGGGAGACGATTGTGGCCTAGTTTTAACAGTGAAAAAGATATTATTTGAAACCAGGAAAGTGGAAGTTTGTAAAACCAACATTGTTTAGGAATAATTGGCGAGATTGATTTGTGTCTGACAGCGATCAGAGGGAGGGGGGAATTTTGCTTGAGTTATAGTCCTAAATTTTTTTTTATGTAATAAAAGTTTAATGTTTACGTAATTATCTGACAAAATAAAATTACAATTATTAGTTATCAGTCGACTGTATAATTTAATTAATTTTAATTAACTTATAGAGAGTTGAGTGGATCAAGATTGGTTAGGTGCTACGGAAATTTATACTCACAGGCCAGAGTAGAAGCATTGGAAAAATTAGATTTATTGCCTCAGCTCCACGATGCCACAGAACTGAAATCGAAAATACTCTTTTCCGTTGTTGTTGTAAGTAAAGTTCACTGTAATGAGGTATTTGACCTTGTGATAATACATTATCGATCGGAGGAAATAAAAAACATAAAACCTATTTTTATTTTTCAGCTGGCTTTCAGATCTACACAATCTATGCTGAGCCAAAGAAAAGAACAAGTGAAAAGGCTGTTATTTTACCCCACTCCTTCAGGCCCAGCTCACATTGAACTAGAAGCTTCTATATGTGCATACTTAAGAAGGACAGTAGACACATTTGATTTGATTGAATGCATTGAAGTATGTTGAAAAATTGCATGCTTCTATTTTTTTAGTAGCCGTCGTGATTTTTATAAATCGTTTCATTGCTTTTACAGGAAGTTAGTTCCCAGTTATGGGCTACTTTATATGACTACCCTTGTTTGAAAACATGTTCGGGTCTACATCAGTACATACGAGATTCCGTTCGTTTGGCTTGGGCATTAGTGAATCAGGTAATTTTTCATTTCGACTGACCAACCAGGCGATTGTGACTAATAATAAACATACCAACCGAATAATAACTGAAACTTGTTTATGTTTTATTTTTGTTTATACAGACTCCTAGTTTTGTTTTGGAGTATGAGCAACGGGCGTTCAAGCGAGACTTACATGTAAGATATCATGCTTCGAATTTGGAAAGTGACGTTGTTCGGACGTATTTGTGGCCGGCATTACTCGAAGGACCTAACGGGCTATGTGTACATAAAGCAGTGGTACTTACGTAGATTTGTCACTACAATTATTAAGTTTATTAATCAATATTTCGTTAAGTGTAATAAACGAGTGAGTAGTAGGTAGTTATTGTGCGCATACACTACATAATGTAAATATAATAAAAAGTGTACATTATGCATAAATAAATTTTATTAATATTCTTTTATCTATTGTTTTATTATAGTTTGTATTTGATAATTTGTTTGTATAAAAACCTTTCAATAATACTTGTATAATTAAAAGTAATAATATAGTGTAGTTAACTACTTTACGCAATCTTAGATTATTTTAGATCATTTACTAGTACTTATGAAAATATTGTAAAAATGTTATCTCCAGATTATGCGTAAGTATGATGTAGTACGCAAAAATGTATATTTGCTTTTGCAGATATCGTAAGTAACATAAAAAAAGCTACCCTCATCATTTTTAAAAACCCTTTACGCGTGTATATAATGATAAATCGATAAGTTTTCTTATTTATTTCATACAAACATTATGTAATATTAAGTTATATTATAGAAATTAATGATGTTGTTTTACATAAATATAAGAGAGATTTTTTTTTTTTGACCGGAAATTAATTTTAATATTAATATTTTTCAACTTGACCTAAAGTTTTCTGTACTTTTTAAATAATGTTTAAAAGAAACCCTTTATTTTTAATTATAATTCAACTGCTAAAACTTTTACAAGTAATAATTGAATATGAAATTGAAAAAAATATTTTTTATTTAGTTTGTCAATAAAAAAAATTATAACAATTATATTGTTGTATTACTCCGAAAAATTATTGTAAAATATTTTTATTTTAAAAAAACCTAATGAATTTTGTTTTAATATTACCTTTAGTTTTCTGTAAAAGTGTTCTCTTTAGTAAAATGTTAAGTTATTAATTTATTTTTGTTTAAATCTTTTTCTGTATATATGTTTAATCAACATTTTTTTCGTATTTTAATATCTTTTTAAATGTTTTTATACATTTCATTGAATAGAATGACGACACTATTATGCAGCCTTATTTCATGCATCCAATAAGGCACTAAGTGTAGGCAACTATATTTGCAACATAAATGATATTTCTGCTAAAATAATATATCTATTCATAAATGCTACAAAAATTACTCAAAAAATATAAGATTATTATTACAATTTATGTGTAGTTTTCGAGAGTTTACACATCACTGTTTTTAAAAAGGATGTTTAAACAAAAGCTTAATAGTTAACGTATAAAATAATCTTTTTTATTTACAATTGCACGATTTAATGATTAATTACACAAACTTGAGAGAGAGAAAATGTAATTTTGCGTTTTAACACTTGAATTACAGTCAATTCAAATTAGTATTTAAACTAAAATTATTCAAATAAAACAGTAATGTTGGTTTTAAATTATAATACGCAACAATTTCTATTTGTTAAAATAGATAATATAAAAAGTATTTTGTACACCTAAGCTACTATCCAACTTTTTGAAATATTTTAACAACACGAATACTAAATAAATAAGATATTGACGTAATAATAAATATCTTATACTCTTTAAATATAAACAATTTTCAGTATTTTTGAGGACATATTCTTTTAGTTTATATCTTATGTACGCGTGCATTTAATTATGATTACAAATCTAATATGAAACACATTCATAATCAGTAAACAATTTGTATAATTATTTGCAATATTGTCAGTAGAAAAAACTATAAGGACTGTAAAATAAATTTTGGTTAGCCAGAAATAGTTTTTGACAGAAGTCGAATGAAATTTTTTTTTTCGTTCAACGTTTAAATACATAATAACATTATATTGTAGTTGAGTTTAACGTTATACACTTTTTATGTTTAACGTTAAAGGGGTTCGGAAGATAAATCACTGCCATAGGCAGCTTAAATAAGGAGCATGTGACTATTTTTTATTTAATACGAATTTTTTTACGTCCCAAGTAGTATTATGTTTAACGATATTTTATGTTTATTGATATTATATGGTTTTTTTATATATTATATATATTATTAGTTTTCTATTACGTTTTGAACGTTATATTTATAATGTTTTTCTGTCCGGCTTTTTGGTAATTTTTTAGTTATACAACTATGAAAAAATTATCTAATATATTCTTATTGCAGTACACTTTTTTCAAAGGGGACTATTACAATAATTAGGGAACAACACTACCGATCATTGAAATATATATCAAGTAAAATCTCAAAAAGGATTATTTTTCTTTGAATAAATTATAAGCTTTTATATTGTCATTGTATTTAACAAAAAAGTATACAAAATGTAATAGTTAAACAAATTCTGAAATTATTTTTTCTAATTATAAAGTAGTGTTTGAAAGTTATTTAAATTCAAGACCTGATATATTTTCAAATTGCAAGTATTTTTTTGGGATTGGAGAACAGGGCATATTTTATACTTATTATTTACAATTTGTTTTATATTTACTAACCAATCTATTTGCTTTGAACAAAATACGTGCTTAACAAACACTATTCACAGTTTTTAAATTTAACAAACCGCTAAAAGAGAATATCAAAAAAGTTTATTTGTCGTCTTAAGAACAATAAAAAAGTTATAGTAAATACAAAGTCAATAGAATATTTTTATTTCTTTAAACTGTACATTTTTACTTTATTCATTTGAATGATTCTAAAGATAAAGTAAAATAATTTCGCATAATTGGTAAAAGGTATAATTATTAAGTTGTTTGGTAATAACACATGAAATATAGTCTCATTTGAAATAGACATGGCAGTTCATGTGTTCGGGTCGATGGGTCGAGGCTGAGTTATGCAGTCAAGGCAAATAAAATGTTTAACTAACGCGAGAATTAGGTCCGGAGGCTTGTTGGTCCAAGTTCAATTTATAATTTTATATGCAAACTGAACGACACACTGACATATTGTAGTCATCATACAATATTCACGTTAGATACAATTTCTAAGTGTAATTATATTTTGATTTCGATATGATCATGATACGCTGTACTAACATTTAGATCCAACTTAACCGGTGCAATTATTTATTTTGATGTTTTATATGTATAATTATTCATATAAATTTTATCCCTCTACGTCATCCCTATAGATATTCATTAACAACTGCAATACTAATTAATTAAAATAATGTATGTCAGCTCAGTAGGGGTTTCAACATTTAGCTTCAATGGTTTACCAATTTGTATACTTAAAAATAAAATAATTAATAAATTAATGTTTAATTTGAATTGATCAATTAGTTACATAACTTTGAGATACACACTTTAAAATAAATTATACGGCAGTTTTATAAAATATAATATTTTAATTCGATCTTTATTTTTGCAGTAACTTTAAAATAATAAATGAATTGTAAAGCATGTACAGATATCATAATATATAAGCCTATTATATAACTATAAAAACAATGGCCATTTAGAATTAATAGTTGAATCCAAGTATTGTAATAGGCAAAATACGATGTCCATAATTAGCAATGCGTAGGCAGCGAGTTTTAAACTCTGTATTTATTTTAGATTTTTAATAACGCATTGAAACAATTTATATATCAGTGTAGTTTCGTGGGTACCATTATTTATGCACACCTATTAAAAATATAGTGAAAGTATTTTTTTTTTTTTTAATAGTATAGGTTCTTTTTTTTTATCAAAGTATTAATGGATTGTTCGAGTACAACATAAAATTGCCTTACTAAGCGGTTTATTTACGAAGAGGAAAAGAGAATAGTCAAATTTCTCAGCAAACGCTATAAACGTTGGAATCTCTGACTGGGTGTTCCTGTCGCGGTTTATCTATTATAATAATTGTATTCGTTTCGTGTTCCGTAATAGCCCACTAACGAAGGACGAACGCTGTTTGTAATTATTTTTAGCCATTGTTTTGATGTGTTTATATATATTCATTCGCACAACCGGCATCCAACGCAACGGACAAAGTGTTCCTACGGTTTTAATTAATTTCACCGGTGTTTAATTAGACACCCATTGCAAAAGCGAAATAAAACATATTTAAGTGACCTTACCGGTGTGCAACAGTCGTATTAGTGTACGTTACACGTGTTCTGTCTATAGAAAATAGAAAATGGATATTGCGCAGCGCAAAGTTTTTAACAATTTTACTGCACGTATGAATAGTAGTATTGTGTCATAGTTATTTAAGATAAATGTAATTATAGGGATGCCCAATATTATTACGTTCATCGCCAATGCCGAACGTGAATACAAAATATTTAATTACAGTTTTTGTATATGGTTTATCTGTCCGAAACCTGTGCAAAACATTTTCACTATTATTCCGGCAATCAATTTCAATAGTTAACATCGTGGCGTTTATGGAGGTGCGAGGGTGGCGGTGAGGAGCATAGTAAAAATACATGTTTCGTGTATAACTTTACTGTTTAATTGGCGGCGAAATGATCAATTGTCTTAAGCATACGTCGTACCGATGGCCCCGCCGCAAAACAAAATCCTTAATACGTCACCGTGTCGGGTCGTTATAATCACATAATGATACTCTGTAAATAATGGCGCTCTTATAGCAAAGTAATTTCAGTAAACGTCATGAATATTTACAGCTTATAACATCGGGACTGACCCCCACAATTCGCAAATCTACCAAGGTACTTGTGTTTTCCTTAATTTTCTAGGTAATATACACGTTTCCGCATGGCGCATGCTCAAATAATTTACTATCGAATATAATTAATGTAGTAAACGTAGTGGCAAGGTAAGTATGTGGGAAATGGACGTTTCTGACGAGTTACGGACCAAAGTATAGCTGTTAAACGTGTTAATACGCCATTATAAAAATACTACAAAATCAATTATTCAGTTTACAAGAAGAATATGCACATAAATAAATGTCCGTTTTTACATACGAGCCAAATAAATTACCGTGTTTTTATTTTACCGTCGAGGGAGGTGAAAAACGTTTGAAAATGGTTAAACACCGCACACTAATGTAATAGTACAATGTTTTAAACATTTACCGGCTCGTAGAAATTAATAACGTGTTGAGTAGTATACTGTTAATGAACGCGGTGCACTCATTTAGGATTGGATCTAGCGTGCTTCGTAACCAAGTGGGAATAAAACATACACGATAATTGTCGTGTAAATATTTTAAACGAAAACATAATCAATTGCAGTGCTGTTTCAATTAATAATCAATGTTATAACGCAGATCTTTAGCAATTTCTGAAAAGCACTTGGGAGGAAGTAATAGCAGAAAATCAGTTATAGAATTAGAAGCAATTTAACTTGTGTGTTTAGTTTACATCCTCTCGCCACGACAACATGGTATTCGAAAACAAAACTCGAGTTCAACTTTTAACTGATTAAACCTTTAGAAAACTACAAAACAGATTAAAGTTTTACCTTTTTTTATATGACTTAAGCTGGATAATGCATTGTCAAAATATTTTTCCGCGATAGTTGTTAAACCGAGTCTCGAAAATAAATTAATGATACGAGGTCGAAGCCTAACCTTATTTCGAAGAACACGAGTGTAGGACGCGGGGCGCGGGGTGTCTCGAATTTCGATGTCGTGTAATTACTTGAACACACACGGGCATTAGATAGATGCGCATTATTTTCTGGAGAATTTTTAATTATGCGACTAAATCCGTGACTGTTAATGGCGTTCGAATCTCAAAAATTGTTTTGACTGACAATATCAAAAGGACGGATGGTATTTTCGAATAATTATTTACCGTGAGAAAAAAATAAACACCGTATTATGGTCTGTTTGGATTTCGCAAGCTCATTGCCTTATCCCACCCATCGTGTGTCTCCATAGGTTACCAATAGGTTACAGTTACGCCGCGGAAAACGATTAAAGTCAACGTTATACGACGACAATGTGTACCAAAAGTTATTTTTAATGTTAATTTTCATGGTGAACGGTAAATATTTAAGTTGTAACCAAACAATCCTGGCAATGTAAAACGGTGAAAATAATCGCCGGTCTTAGGATATTTTGATGAATTTTTTACGTAGGAATATGATACTAGGAACGTACATAGATGATGTTTGAGACGTGGACATAAAATATAACTACGGCCAGGGGTTTGCTACCCTCTCCGTCCACCCGAATATGAACCTCTCATGGGAAATTTAGTGTGTACTAGTGAACAAAAATTAAAATATAAAAATGAAAGATTTTCATTTTTTTGTTTTCGGTACAACAGAATTTTCCTCGTTACAGTTTTATAGTGTAGTTAAAAAACGTATTACCCAATGTTTCCTCTGAAATAATAATAAATATTACATAATAACACAAAACGAACAATTAGAATGATAACCCTGAAATGAAAAATATTATTTAGGTACAGTCGATATCATTAGCAGTGAAACAACAGAAATGTTATCTTTTAAAGACATTCGTCTAAAAGACCAACACAATTTAATTTCTTTATATTTTTGTATAAATCATAATAAATTATGTAACAATAATGATTATTATTTTGTTGCCGAGTAACAGGTCTAATACACGTCAAGTACTCACTAATCTATTTTACAATTATCAGTTTACAAACAAAACTCATTAAAGAGGGATGTAAAATGTAATATATGGTAAATATAAACCAACAGTTTTTAACAAATAATAGCTATGGTTTTTACTTAAAAAAAATATCACTTTATATTTTTCCATTTTGTCGCGTAATTACAGTGTTAAGTCGGTAACGATAACACTAGTACTTTATTATTATAGTCATCGGTAATCGTTTTTTATCGTTACTATAACAACTTTCGATAATTTTACCGCCAAAGTCACGAAACTAAATCGTTTATATGACATATCCCCGCTGTATTTTTTGTTTAACCACCAGGATAAACACAATTGTTTATTGACCGATGAATAAAAAAAACCAACCAGTAACCTATAAAAAAATAAAATAAAGAACATCGCAGATGACATTTTTTTTTTTAACGGTAAACAAATGCAGTGTTTATATGGTCCGTGGTTTGACGTTTATGTTTTTGTATACACCAAAAAAGGTGGTTAACGTGTTGGAATTATTTTAATACCATAATGTATTTATAAATATGATGTCGGGAGAGAAAAGTTGTCGATTTTGCTGACCTAAACGGACGACACGTGGCGATAAGAAAAATCTAGTGAAAAAATAATGAGAATCAATAACGCCTTCTTGCTGCTATGCCGTTTTACAAGACTACATTTATATCGCGTGAATAATAAATATACTGTCCGATAAAAGCCCAAAGGTTCACCAGAAAATATTGCTGTGATTTTAAGTAGGACGGGTCTAATGTTTCTACTGTTGTTTTAAAATTCCGTTACATTCAAATTAAATAGGGTATTTAATTTTCATACATCGCTGTGGGTTATTATAATCATGTTATACATTTCTAAGGTTTTTATAATTCTTATTTTATCGGTCCAATAAAGCATAATGTTGTTACTGGGCTGGTAGATTCAATTTGATTAGGTATCCCAAGAAACGCAAGACTTACACATGCTCGCAATACTGCAAGTGTAAGTCGAAATTCGATTACCTTACACCGAGTTTACCCAATTTGCTTCAACTAGAAGTCTAATAAACCGCTTTTGTAATGTTATTATAAGAATCCGTCGGAAGTCCCGTCGCGAATTTTGGGCCGTAAGGTTAATGATTTTTAAATTTGTCTCCGTTAACACACACAATTTAAATGTGGACACGTTTCATGAATTATAATTGAAGGGAGGTGAGATGTAGTTGGATACCAATTACTCAGATTCCTCTTTTCCTCCGATTCATTCGTGTAGTGAACTAACACGGAAATATGTCACTGTGCTAATATCTGTTTTTAAACATATATTGCTTATTAAATAACGATAATATTAAATAATCATTAATAAGCGAACCCTACCATTTTTAATGGTTTTCAGTATTATCGTGTAGATTGAACGATAGCTTACCTAACGATCGTACCCGGCGTATATTTAGACTTTTAATGGGTTTCCAATATTTGGTCAAACGGAAACTAATTAAACATTCATTTGGAGGGTCCAAACGATTTTTATTGAGCTCCACGGTCATTGTTAACTGTGTTAGATTAACAAGGCTACAATGTCGATCAAATATCCACATTTCTTCAGATAATTGAGAAAATAGCATGAACAGAAATATGACACTGTTTAACTTGTTAATTTATGTACGTTCTAATAAATTCAATTAGATCTGTGTTCAGTATGAATAACATTTTTATTACAATATATTCCTAATACTGTGAAGAATCAATTTCTGTTTGAATAATTGAAAATGGCTTTACAATTCTTCCAAGTACAATAATATCACGAGGGCCATCAAAACTAAAACGAAAATCTGCATTAAAAAATAATAAAAAATATGACTAATATACAGTGGCAGATTTTAAACATTTTCTCTAAGGGATCTGAAGAATAAATTTTTCTTGGAATTCTTAACACTCTTACCCTATATATTATATAATATAATATAAACATATCATTGTGTAACCCTCTTGACCACCCTCTGTAAATCCGCCACTGCTAATATATAATCTTGACGTTCTCAATTATTTAGCAGTTCCCGTATGTATTAGACATATACACACTATGCAATGTAAAGTTGATAAGAGTATGTTATAATTATTACCGCGTTATGACCGAGTATGTTTGGGGAGGGGAAGGAATAGATAAAAAAAGGAAAGGTCGGAGAGTGAACTGAGAAGATGCAGCCGAAATCCGATTTCAAGAGCAGGTTTGACTCTATAAGCGAATGTAGCTACAACACCACCGTCGCCTACGTTTAGCGATGGTACGGAGAATCGCGCACGCGCATCGCAGGGCGCCGCGACGGCCGGTGATCTGAAGCGCGCGCGCGCCTTGCCATCGTGTAGGCCGGCGGACGACGGGACGCTTAGTCGGTCCGGGCCGAGAAACGTGGCGGCACAGCTGTGGGGAAGGGGCTACGCGCGCCGCCGTCGAGTGGGGCGCATGGAACATTGACACCGCACTAGCAGCAGTTCAATGTTGTATGCCTACGGCCATAATGGGACTGTCTGACGGCACAACCGAAGCGAACGGCGGCTGTAGCGGCAGCGTCGACGACATCAACGCGTGCTGCTGATCGACGAGTGCGTGTTTGTGTGTGTATGTGTTTTGTTTTGCTATTTCGTTGTTTGCTGGCGGTCGTTGTGTGGCTCAGAAAATATTAATTTATACAGCGGCAAGCAATAAAATCAGATATCATCCGGTGTAGTTGTCGTTAATATCTGGGGAGCGCGCGCGCACACGCAACGCAAATCAAAAACTGTTAACGGTGTCATTGATGGGAAGTGGTCATTGTCAACCCGGGCATCCGGAAATCAGCCAAACTGGAACTGATGGAATTGGAAAACATTGTGGCGAATACCGTCTACCTCAAAGCGAGAGAAGGTAAGCACAGACACCTTTTGCAGTGAACTGTTTCGAATCGACCGGAAACGTTATCTTTTCCTAATCCCTCCTCCTTTCACCCCTTTTATCTATTTTTGCTAATGTTGCATGATAAGTTTCAATTGCACTTCTTGGTTAACTTTTCAAACATTCGCATTTATCGTTATAACTGAATGATAACACCCTTTCTAGATTCTATTTTGTTTTTTAATGATAAGAGTAAAAAATTAATAGTTAACAAATTTTCTTTTTTATTAATTTCAAATCTATAAAGCATTAGTTAATAATTTAGGTCTTTTCCTAAATCATGGTAAATGCATTCTTTCAAATAAGACACGAGTAAAATAATTTATACTTTATTATTGGTCAATTAACAATAGGTCATATGTCATTTTTATTTTAAGCATTTTACAACTACAGGCAATATTTAGGTAGGTATTCAATCAGATAAATTGTTCCAATTTGTTAATTTATTATAAATTGACTCTGGGTACATTTGCTATGCAGTGTCTGATACTTAATAATAAATAATTGATTTTGAAAGAATATTGTTGATTTGTTACTTTTTCTAGTATTCGATGATATATATATATATATTTTAATTTAATCAAACTTCAATATTATCATTCATAAAATGATAAGAAATATTAATCATATTAAACAAAATCTTTATAAGATTTAAGATATTTATTGATGTATAGTTTACTTAGTAGAATGTGAATACATTAAAGTAAACATTCTTATAGTCAAAACTGGAAATGCAACTAATTTGCCCTTGTAAAATACTAAAAATATTAAATGGCACATGATATTGTGTTTACAACTTAAGGACTAATAACTTATAAATTTATTTGAAAAATATTTGATGATCTAATAATATTTTAGTAATTTAGTTAATTATTACTTTCTACTTTCTTATTATTACTTCATTACTATTTTTAATTAATACTTTCGATACCGCTTAAACTTAAATGTTGGATTCTTTACAAAAATGACTTATATCAATTATATTTAATTTTGATTATTTGACATTTTATAATAAAACTGTTAGCTTAAAAATAAAAAAACCCATAACAATACGCATTAAATTATTCATTTTTTAAAAAATAATTTTATTTTAGAAATGAAAAAAATATATATCAACTAAGTTAATTTATAGCTATGCTGTTTTGAACTTATATTTAATTTTATAACTATATATGCTAATTATTCACAATTAATTCATGATTGAATTAATATTAAAACTAATTTTTTAATTATTAAAGCAATAAGATATTTTCATCAGAAATTGTTGGTATTATACACTCTAAAAATATTATTGTTATCATTTAAATATATTGTATTTTCTTAGTACAACTTTTAAATATTTATTTTAAACAAGAAATTTATAGTAAACAATTATTTCAATTTTTGAAAAATTAACTTTCTGAGCCTGTGTTATTTAAAAAAAAAAAAAGTAGAATTATTATTAAAATAAAATATTTGGGCTATAATAAACTAAATATTTTCATGACTTTGAGTTTCTATAAGGTCCCATAAATGTAAAATAATATATTTATTATTTAGTTATAGATAAAAAGAAAAGTTTATTAGGTTAGTTATACATGGAAATTAGTATAATTTGGTAGTACTCAAATATACAATAGTTAAGAACTTCTTAATACTATTTTAGTATTAAAATGATACAATTATAAACTAAATTTTGTTAATTTATGTAAATAAATAATTTTCTAATTATTTTTTTTAGCAAATAAAGTTAAATTTTATGTTATAATTAAAAAGTTTTTATATTTGTTTTAATTTTAGGTGGAACAGATAGCAATAAAGGAAAAAGCAAAAAATGGAAAAAGATCCTACAATTTCCTCATATTTCTCAGTGTGTTGATTTAAAACCACTGATTGGTATGTATATTAAAATTAGAACAAATTTTATTTATTAATATTATACAAATTGTATATTTATTTAGGTGTAATTGTATTTTTTGTTTGTTATTAGATATGAGGTATAGTTATATAATAGATCAACAACCAATTGGTCGATTATTATTTTTACAATTCTGTGAAGAAGAACGTCAAGAATTTCATCGTTACAATGTTTTTCTGGATTCCATAGTAAGCTATATTGTATCTGATTTTTTATTGAAAAACTTTACTGATTTTTATATTTTTCAACAGGAAAAATATGAAGTAGAATCTGATGAAAATAGATCAGGACTAGCTAAAGTTCTTTATGACAAATATATTAGAAGAGATGTAAGTTTTTATTGAATTTAGTCTTCTTAATTCAAAGATTTATCTAAGATTATTAAAATATAATATAAGAACTTTTATTCAAGTTCAATAAGGATTTATATATAGTACTTGTTGATTAAACAAGCTTATGACAGTGTTAATAGTTTGGAATTATGAAAAGCAATGATACATTTATGATTCTCATAAAAATTTATAAATTTGATAAAAATGTATAAGATCAAGACATTTCTAAAAGTATATTTCCTACAGAGATTATCATTGGTTTTTGAGGTTCTTCAAGGCTTGGGCAGGGTAATACTCTATTCTTGACTTTGTTAAACTTGGAACTGAAAAGAGTAATAAGAGTGTCTTATATAAATAATTGGTGAATAAATTGTTCTAGCATATGCTGATGACATAGTTTTTTAGGTAATACATGAGAAGAATTTATCCAAACACTCTAAATAGCCAGCAAAGACATAGATTATTTATCAATAAAGAAAAGAATATATTTAAGGTACTATCTAGAAGTATCACAGAGCAGTTGAATTTACGTGTGGAAATTACCAATTTTGAAAAAGTGAATGATTTCAAATACTTGGGTGTAAATAAACATGCATAGGGAAATAAAATAATGAATATGAAATAGAAATAAATGTTACTTTAGCATAAACAAGTTAATGAGATCAAAACTATTAAGAAAATAAAAAATTACTTTATACATAAGCTATCTTAGACTGATAATAACCTATTTATGTGAGACTAATAGAAAATTTATAGAAATATTGCTACATAGGAAAATAAAATCTTTAGAAATATGTATTTTAAATATATTGATCAGTGTAAAATGATGACCTAGGAATATATGATAAAAGACAATGCTCACATATATAATATATATATGTAAGCATCGAGAGTAGCTGGCACATACGTGGAGAGCTATTAGAGATGTATTAAAAAATGTACTGTCAGGAAAAATAAATGAAAAATGTTAACTTGGAAAACTTAGAACAAATGATGACTGATAGATGGGAATGCAATGTAGGACTAAACTATGGACGAGAAAAATAGAGAAGTTTATTAGTGGCAGTACAGGTCCTGAATGGATTGTGTAAGCTGAGAATTATGATGAATATAATTAATTTAATAATAATTTTGTTATTAATATTTAGTGTTTTGGTTTCTTATAATAAGTATTATAAACCTTAATTATTCTGCAATAAGTTTTTATAGTAAACCCTATTGTATTATTGTATATTATCATTTTATTGTTTCAAATTTAAAAATATTTATTCATGATATATTATAGGCAATAGAAGCAGTTGATGTTTTAAATGAAGACATGATTGTAAGATGTCTAGAACAGTTAGAGTCTGCTCATAGAGAGTTATTTACTGATTGCTCAACAGCTGTGAAATCATTTCTAGCTGGCCGTCCATTTAGCTTGTTTGAGTCTTCTATGTATTTTCACAGGTTCCTTCAATGGAAATGGCTAGAAAGGTATAAGTAATCATTATGCAATAATTAAATTTTTTGTTTACATTTTCACTTTTTTATTTTAGACAACCAGTGACTTACAAAACATTCCGTATGTATAGAGTGTTAGGTAAAGGTGGTTTTGGAGAAGTTTGTGCTTGCCAAGTAAGAGCAACTGGAAAAATGTATGCTTGTAAAAAATTGGAAAAAAAACGTATTAAAAAACGAAAAGGTGAAGCAATGGTGTTAATTGAGAAGCAAATTTTACAAAAAATAAACTCTAAATTTGTGGTAATTATAAAAAAAAATTTCATTATTGCTATAAAATAAATTTTAACAAATAATAATTTAATTTTAGGTTAGTCTAGCCTATGCATATGAAACCAAAGATTCATTGTGTTTAGTATTAACAATAATGAATGGTGGAGACTTGAAGTTTCATATATACAATATGGGTTCTGAACCAGGATTTGATATAGCTAGAGCTCGTTTTTATGCTGCTGAAGTAATTAATTATTTATTCATAAATCAAAATATTCATTCCTAAATAAATTGTGTAAAACACTAACAGTATCTAATAAATTGATAACCAGTGATGCCATAAAGCAGCACAACCAAGTGAAAAAATAAAAAATGATAGACAATGCGCTTCAATACAGAGTGTAGTTGAATTGAATGGATTAAACATAATAATTTTACTAATTTTATAAGATAAAATAAAGGATTAAAAACTATAAAGAGATGGTTAATGATTGTAAAATCGACTGAGTTTATGCTGAGCGGATTTTAAGTTTTTAATTATTGACAACATTTAAATAAAAAGAATAACTCACTGGAGCGTAGTGTATGTATATATACGAGTGTTACTATTTAGATCATTATAACAAACAAATGTTTGCTTGTAATAACTAACTTAAAGTTTTAAAGAAAAATAGGAAAACAAATTATTGATGGTATTAATCCCTAATAATAATTATTTATAATTTTTAATAAATTATTATTTAATATATATATATATATATATATATATATGGTATTAACTGCCGGAGCGTGGTATACTGTAATTATTTGTAAAATAATTTTAATGTGTTCAAAGTTAATAGTATTAATTTTGTAATATACAAAACAATAAAATTGTTTTGATTTCTACAGTACAGATTTCTGGTTGTAGTACTCTTTCCTTTTTTATTTTCACAATTAATTTTAAGGAAAATTGAAATAATATTTTTATCTAAGTTATGTAAACTGTTGTTTAATGACTCGATGATAATTTTTTATAGATCCTATATTTTGTAACATAATTTTCTTAAAGTTTTCACAACTTTATTTGTTTCATATTAATATTTTATTAAGATTACTATTATTTGTGTAGGTGTTATGTGGGTTAGAACATTTACATGTTCAAGGGATTGTATATAGAGATTGCAAACCAGAAAATATTCTATTGGATGATGCTGGTCATGTACGTATATCTGATCTTGGCTTAGCAATGGAAATACCTGAAGGAGAATCAGTCAGAGGAAGAGTAGGAACTGTTGGATATATGGGTAAGCATTAATTTCTTATTTTTATATTAGTGAGTATAAAACTCTTTTGTTCTATTATTTTTCAAGTTTTAGTAGTCTGAATTAGTAAATGTTAAGTTAAATTATTAATTTATAAATAAATTAATTTTATTGTTATTGAACTGAAATTTAGATAATGTATTTTATTTTTAAAATAAATCTTTTTTTTTGGTTGTTTCAATTTTTAAAATAATTAATTTAAATATTAAATTATTTTAGCACCTGAAGTTATAGATAATGAAAAATATACTTATAGTACGGATTGGTTCAGTTTTGGGTGTTTGGTATATGAAATGATTGAAGGTCAAGCACCATTTAGAGCCAGAAAAGAAAAGGTAAGTAAAAAAAAATTATTTTGAGATAAATTTTATTACATTTGTGTTAATATATGAGCTTTAATTCATTGTTCATAGGTTAAACGAGAGGTTGTTGATAGAAGAGTAAAAGAAGAACAAGAAAAGTACTCCTCAAAATTTACAGAAGAAGCCAAATTGCTGTGTAAACAAGTGTGTATAAATAAATAAATATAATATATTTTAAAAATATTATATTTATAACTTTACAAATTATAAGAAAATTGTTATTAATATAAAATACATTTTATTTTGATGTTTAGCTGTTGAAGAAATCTCCAAAATCACGACTTGGTTGTCATTGTGGTCGTTATGGTGCTAGAGAAGTAAAACAACATGAGTTCTTTAAGACTACAAATTGGAAGAGACTTGAGGCTGGTTTAGAAGATCCTCCATTTATTCCAGATGTAAGTTTTTTACATTGAAATAATTGAGTAGAAATTCATTATCAACTTTTTGTTTAGCCCCATGCTGTGTATGCCAAAGATGTATTGGATATTGAACAATTTTCAACTGTAAAAGGTGTCAATCTAGATGCTACAGATGATACATTTTATACCAAATTTAATACTGGTTCAGTGTCTATTCCATGGCAAAATGAAGTATAGCTTTAATTTAATTATAAATTTCTCACTGTTTCATTCTATGAATTTATTTTAATTTTATAGATGATAGAAACTGGATGTTATAAGGAACTTAATATATTTGGGCCTGATAAAACACGATCATCAGATTTAATTTTAGATTTACTGCCTGAACCTGAAAAGACTGGATGCTTTCCATTTAGAAGAAGAGTATGTTTTTTATTATTTAGAATGATCCCTTGTAGTATAATTTAGCTTAAATATTTTAATTAAAATTACTGTGATAATTAAGTGAGATTAACTACTATAGCAATGAAATTTTTATTAATTTTAGCACTTGTATTATCAAGTTTTAATAATATTGCTTGTCTTATTAAAGTAACACATTTAGAGGACTTGTAGAGTTGAAGGGATTAGGATAATAATTTAGAAGTGGTTATGCTTCAATATAGAGAATCCTGTAGGGCTTAGGAAATCTTTGATAAAATTATGGTTAAAAAAATTAATTAGATTTAATTTAATTCAACCAAAATATGTATGTATATGTAGTATGGCTCTTTTTATTTTTATATCATATTTTTAATGATGTTACTGTACTCCTTCAACTCTGTGTGCTCATTTATATTTTAATAAAAATGGGGTATTTGTTGTTCTTAAATTATTTTACTGGTGAAAATGTGTACATTAAATAAACTATACTGCTGATAGGTTGGATGAACCAAATTGGTATTACTATTCTTGCACTTCAGAGTGTGCAAGTTTTGTCTTTCCTGAGTTTAAGAACTGCAGCACTTTTATTAAAATAATTATATAGGATATTCCAACAATAAATGTCATAAGTAACACAGTAGCAATGTATAAACATCAAATATTCACACTTAGTTCAAAACTTTAATATTATCCTTATGTTTGTTTGAATTTCACTAATTAAATAATAAATGAATGTTTAATTTTAACTATTTAAATGTACTATGTGATTTTAGGCAATTTGATTTAACGTCTGTTAAAAGATGACATAATAATTTTATAAAAATAATATTTTTTTGTTACTTCATAGTCAAGATTAAAATTAACTACATCTCATGATTTCTAGTAATATTTCGATACAAATTTATGGGTCTTACTATTATGATTATTTTTTATTTATTTTAGGTCAAAATAGTGGGAAATTTGTGAAATTAGTCAGTTTTATACGAGAAGTTTGTGGGAAATATTGTGGTGCCATTTTTTTGTTATTTTAAGTAATATTGAAGAGACAATCCTGAAAAAACCCTCCCTTTGGGATAGATTTTTTTTTTATTTTGTTATTTTTACGGTTTATACATTACCTCTATGCTAATAATAATGTTTATTTTTGTAACAACCTGTATAAAATGTGTGTTAAGTCAGTAAATTTTTTTAAAAATAAAACTGATAGAAAAAGCATACTATATATAATACATTGAATATGTAATGTGTAATTGAATAACAATTTAACTTATCTTAAAACACGATAATTTAATAAATCTAGAAGCTTAGAATAAATTGTAATCTAGTATATAAATTAATATTTTTTTTACAGAAAACACAGTCAGCAAGGTCTAAACCAGTTCCTATTAAGGATCAATGTTTTTTAAATAAACAAAATAAAATTGCTGACGAAGTCCAAAGTTGATGGAACATTACTTAGGTAGATTTCAGTTTATTTAATACATTCTTACTGCTCTTTGGAATAATCTCCAATTTTCCTCGCATCCATTAATTGACAAAAATTTGTTTATTTCTATATGATTAATTATTTTTTATTTTATGTATAAAAAATTATCAATTTTTTATTTTATACTTTTTTAAAATAAAATAGGTCTAACAAATTTAAATGAAAAATATCTCCATAATGTACCATTAATATTACTTATAAAATTAATTTAATAAGCATAAAAAGAATTTATAATGATTTTACCTTTATTATTATTCCATTAATACATTTATATACCAAACTTGAAAGCCTTTATAAAAGTGAACTTATTAAAGTAGACAAAACAGTGTTAAGGATATTAGATCCTATGCATTCTTTAATTTAACAATATTTTATATAACTTTTATGTTATGAACTTAAATTAAATTGAGAGATTGTCCTATTTGAGATTGATGTTTATGACAAATATTTTTTTCGTGACCTCAGTATGAATTGTATGTCACATGAAGTCTTTGACATAACTACTTTGGCTGTTGATAAAGTGATATTGTTAAGTAATTTTATTTTTAAGTTTTGGTTAACTATAATTATAAATATTGTTTGTTTTATCCTAAGTATAATTGCACAATATTATTGCCATCCTCCCTCTAAAATGTTAACCTTCTTAGAGTGCAAAAAATTGTTATTTTTATTTGTCTTCCTGGAGTTTTATATATTTTAATTGTAAGCTTATTATTACTAAAATAATGAATTTACTATTAACAATTGTTTCTTATAGTACAAATTCAAATATTTATTTATGTACCAGATGAAATGTTTTTTGTATGTATGTATGTATGTATGTATGTATGTATGTAAGTGTGAATGATTTTAAATAATACCATTATTTAAAAAAAAATATGATTTACACAAAGGGATTACTCTATATAGTTTTAAACTCCTTTAGTCTTCCAAATTGAACAAAAATAAATAATTTTGTAAATGTCTTGAAAGTTCATATTTTATTTTACATGTGTATAAAAAAATTTGCAATAATATTTTATTTTAGCTGTTCATAATTATTTATAAAAAGATAGCTAATTTAAGTAAAACTCATGCTAGGTCTTGCCAAAATATTGCTCTCATGAAAATTAAACTTGCCCACTCATTGATATATGATAATAAACCTAACCTCAAATTCAAACCTAAATTTTTTATAGTAGAAATTTAAGTTAATAAAACATTTAATGTGTATAGTAAAAAGGCAGCCAAAACTGAGGTTTGCATCATAGTGTTTTTCAAATGTACTATAAATAATATCTATGCTATAGATTCATTATTTATGTTATAAAATCAATTTGAATGACTGAAAATAGTTACTGCTTGTATAGTGTTTATATAACATTTTATAAAATTTATTTTCTACATAAAAAAAAATAGTTCTTAAATCAATATTCCTAGTCCTTTCAAAAAGTTTACTATTACCATTCATTTTAATATTTGAAGCCTTTATACTGTGATTAAATTAAGTACTTTACAAAAAACTGTGTTTGTTTTCTTTTAATATTTATTTGTTTATAAATAAATAAATATTTTTTATTTTGTTGTAAATTCAAATATAACGTAAATGTAATTGTACAATAAATAATATAATGTTGATTGTTAATTTTTTCATTTTAAATTATAGAACATTAAAACCTACCATATAGTTGCTTAAACAAAACTTGTAATAACTTTTTTTAAATATAGATGTGTATAAAATTACTACTCAGGGTGTTTTTATTCCTAAAAAAATTGTATGTAAAAAAGATATTTACCTAAATACTACAATCAATGATAGACAATATCATTGTGTGTTAATTACATTCACAAGTTATGCTGTTTCAATTATATACAACTAACTGAAAACTATTGTACACCAGTTGTACAATTCTTTAATTAATATTTAAAATATTATTATAAAGATTTTGCAGTGATTAAGAAAAATTAATTAATTTGGTAAGATTATAATATAATTAATAATATTAAGAATTGTGAACTTTGTGCATTTATAATTTGTTATTATAAAAAATGTAGCTTTAATTATATTCTCCCCTTAAATAATCATCGCCTATTCAAAAAAATATTTGTATTTTAAAGTTTACAAATAAACACATATTGACTAGGAAAATTCTCCCTTCTCGAAAAAATTATCGATGTATCACTGGTAAATAATTGTTATTTTATACAGACAATACATGGTATATAAAAATTCTCCTATTCCCGAATATATATATCAAAATTTTTTTTAAATTGTGATTTAATAACAACCTTTATTTCTTAGTGAAATAACAAAATAAAATATTTGGCATCCCGACAAATTTTATATAACTTTTGAAAAACAAATTAATAAAAATCGATTAGTGGGTATACATCGTATACCCTCCCCTACACCATTAGACTTAGAATGTTATTTATTAGTAATAAGAAGTGCCAATTATGATGAAATATGAAAATATTTACAAATTTCTGAGATGCATAAAAACAAATAACTTTTTCAAACTATGTCTATTTTTTGTTAGTATATTAATATTTTTGTTTTGTTTTAATAAGAAAATGATTCTCAGAACAGATTTTATGAAAATCTTATTTTCATATAGTCTATGTTCTTAGAATGATAAATTTTGGAAAAAGTAAAATTTTTCACTAAATATTAAGATTGTATTATTAGTTTGTGATTTGCATAATCAAATTTACAGTTTAAAATCAACAAAACACAAATTCGTGTCATTTTTGATAGTATAATTATTTTTATGTTTAATAAAAAATGAAACCTATATTTTGTTTGTTATGTTAGTGGTGTAATTCAGTTGTGTTCTGTTATTAATGCTTGTCGTTGATAAAAAAATAGTATGGTATATGAAATAGCTATTCAGTTAAATTTGATTGCCCAATAGATAATTACGATTTTATAGCAATTTTAAGTATAATACAAAATTTTTTTTTGAATTAAGACTATACTAGCACCACATAATATTTTTCGTGTATGTGTTTGTTACTGATGATTAATTAATGTTAACATATATATATATAAAAAATATCATGATATTTTATGAGGTGAAAACCTCTGGTTTATTATATAAATATTTTAGGTATCAATTTAATATGTACACAATTACAATTAACTTTGGTTTTTTCGTAGGTATATTCGATAGAAGTTATCAGTATATATAAACTTTAATAATCAATATAAAAAATAGAATGGATTATTAAACGTAAAGTAATTTTTTACAATCAATTATATAAAGTAACGATACGCTAAATTAATGAAATTTCACAATAATATTTTTATTGAAAAATTTGTGGCAAATAAAGTAATTCTAATTTATTAGTTTTCTAATTATCACATATTTAGAGAATAAAAACTGTTCGTGGTTCTTAATACTATGATAATAACAATGAACTATAAAGTAAACAAGGTTTATTAAAATTAACACATGAGTAAAAAGGAACTAAAATATAAATATACGTAAAACATGACTAATTATAATTGTACGTTATAAAGGGCGTTGTACTGATTCTATGTATGTATAGTTCTATTGATCATATTACAAATACGGCCATAAGTAAATTTATAGTACTATAAATTATAATAGGGCCACCGGAATTATATAGCTAATGAAGACTTTGTCATCATACTCATTACTTAATATTTAAATATAGGTACAGAATCTTAAAATATATAACTCGCGCACACACACACATAAAGTAGATATGGTAAAGTATAATAATTAGTATCTGGTTATAGTCGAAGCTGCACAATTTATATAATAATTAACATTTCGACTAATTTTATCTTGTATTATAATTAAAATAATATTGTCTTAGAGTTTATATATTATACACAAGGCGTGGGAACAGAATTAAAGGAGCAAACAATTTAAAAATAATATTTTCTTAAGAAACTAAGAATTTAATTTTGAACATAAAATAGCAAACAGTTGTTCTGTTTTAAGTAGGGTCATTGTTTATTGTACTTTTAAAATGAACACACGCTTAATTACGCAACAATAATCGTTACTTAAATTAATTTTATATTGTAAATTGTTCTGACTAGTAATTATATATAAAATTTTTATCATAATTTATAAATTAATGTTTATAAATAGTTTTTTTTTTTTACTAGAAAAACTAAAATATTAAAGTTCACATTGATAAACATAGGGGCAAAAAAAATAAAAGCTTAAGGAGTTTTCTGTTTTATTTTTAAATTTTTAGTTTGTTTTAATATACAGCAATGATTTTAATTTGTGATGGGTTTAACTCTCGTTATCCCCTTTAATTGTAACTATGAACAATAGTTTGATTTTTTACAGTAAGATTTTTAAAACGCCTGTAGTCTGAGATAAATATATATTTATTGGCTTAACATCTTGTTTGTAAAAAAAAATAGTACATTTAGAGTTTATGCGAAATTAGATACATGTTCAAACAAAAACAAGGTAACTGAAAAATTTATATTATTTATTTTACAATAACATTATACATTAAAAAACACTTATTTTAATTGATAGTTTTTTGATCACTCAATGGATCAAGAGAGTAACATTCAGTGAGCAATCTTTTTTAAGATTAGTTTTTTTTAGACTTTATACCTGAATCCATTAGTACTTAATTACAAACAGTGTATCTTTTATCGTTCTATCGTGAAAAAAAATGTAATTTACTAAGTTTTATAGTTAGAATGTACAATTAGATTTTCTCTATAGTACCAGCTTAAAATTAGTAAACAGCAAATTAGTGCTTTATAGCGAAGAGTCGGATTTTTTTATTAGTTTAATTCTGTAAGCACGACTGCTGGCTGAGTACTCTTAGTGATAGGATTATAATTGTTACTGTGATAATATGAATTGTAATAAATATATTAAAATATGGTCCAAAGTAATTTGTTCAACTTCTACAATTTAGGAATATTGACATGAAAAAACTATTAATGCAAAGTTAAAAACGATTTCATTGTGTTTTAATTATAATTAAAACCATTATTATTTTATAAGATAACAGTAATCATTTTAAATAGAAAAATTGTACAAACAATCGTTATGACTGAAATGACGACAAACATGATTTTTACAAATTACGAATTTTTTGGCTGAAGATTTATTTATTATTTTTTACTATCTGACGATAGTATTTGGTTTGGATTACAGATTGCAACAAAAAAAAGTATAACATTTGAAAAATTGACGAAAGCGACGGGATATGTAACAGTGTGATATGTGCTTAAAAAAATATTGGTTTCACCAATTAAAGAATGTAACTTAAAGGCAGTGATTAAAGGGAAAAACTCCAAAAGGGACTACATACTAATAAAAACATAACTCTCTTCATACCTAGTAAATGGATTTTGAGAACTAAACTAGAAGGGGCGGCATTTAATTGCAGCTAAATTAATCAAAAGAATTCTGTCAACTTGGGCCCACCTAACCACTGGCAAAAGTGATAGCTGCACTAAACGTAACTCTCTTGTTGTAATTTCAGAATGCTGGTGGTAATATTAAGTCGTCTGATGATAGCTTCCGACTTGGAATGCTCTTCGATTGATATGACAGTGATGCCGTTTCGTTTCATCTTCGTGTACATATTGGCGGTGATCAAAGCAACAGTTTCACCAGGATCACCGCGTTGACTAGATGACGTGCCGGTAGTACCAGTGTGTGCGGATGTGGTGGTCACCGTGCCCTTACGTCCCAGATGACGATGATTCCATGGCCGCCGGCGGATACCACACAACCGCCGAAATCCGTCTCGGAACTTGGACGACATGAGATTATATAAGATCGGGTTAAACGCCGAGTTTATGTACAACATCATGCGGCAAAATAGCAAGACCATATAGTAATTGTACATGCCGCCGAACACCTCGAAGAGATTATAGTCGGGGGGCGCAAGAACAATCCACAAAATGAGGGCGCGGAACGGCAATTGGCACAAAAAGAAAGAAGCCACGACTGTGCCTAACATGAGTACAACTTGTCGACGGTATCTAAGCGCCGCCCGGTTAGTGTTGGGCGCCACAATACCAGAGTTGGCAGTCAAGTGCTGGGCGATGATAACGTACAGTATTGCGAGTACAGCTAATGGCAAGACAAAGAACAACGATATGGTTCCGACAAAGAAAAAAACGGGCCAGAAACCGGTGACATTGGTTTGGCATACCGTAACCATGGTGTTGTCCACGTACCTCTCCCAACGGTAATCCGGTAGGTCTAACATGGGACTGGAACATAACATGCACAAAGATTAGTTTTTGACAAAATAAGTAGTTCAAAAATAAGATAGTATTAATATACACAATAAAAGTAATTTTTCTCTATTAACTGGTGTTAAGTGCGATAAAAACATGTGCGTTTAAGTAAAAAACTATCGAAGCAAAGAACCCAAATCCAGTACCACGTTAAATTTTGTATACAACTGTTGTAGACTTGGTCCATAATTTAGAACTGGACCAACCTTGAATTTATCATAAATATCAATTAATATAATAGCGCTATACATGTGCATGTAATTGCGTACATTGTAAAATAAATATTAAAAAACCGCTGGACGGCATAAACTAAAATAGTTTACAAAGGACGAATACATTTAATACACACAAACATATTACATACTATTATATTACACTACAGGAGATAAAAATCATAAAAAGCGCCGTCCGATTGCTGCTTTACATTGGAATTCTTATAAATGTTTTAATAATTATGTGAACTTTTTTTAGCTAACGAACACACCATAACATTGGCGATTATATTATTTCGCTGGCCCGATGACAGAACAAAAGCGTTTCAATTAACTATATAAATTATAAGTGTCGCCTAAACGACAACCATAAAATATAATATCACTGTATTGTAATATCACTCTAAGCACTGCACAGTACGTACCTTAGTCTACAACTAAGTTGCATAACATACATTTTCATTTAACAATCAATGTATACACTGATCATGTTCAAATTATAATGAAGCTTAAGCAGTGTACAAAAATATAATTTGTAAAAGAAGAAATTGTTTACACCTTATATAGCTATTTTTTTACATAGTCATCGCGTTTTTATACACAAATATTATCTATAAATGCAATAAAAATAATAATACATTTCTTCAATGTGGTCTTTATCGGTGTCTGTAAAATTAAACGCGACAAGTCTTGATGAGACGACCATAAAGTTTAATCCACGATAAAAAGTATTGACTTTCATGTAAAACAGTTAAGTACTTAATGCCTTTAACACAAAAACAGCCGTATTAATTGCATTTCAGTGAAGTTAGTTATTTGTGATATTTTGCTAAGAGTAAAGTCAATGGTCGTTAAACAAGACTTGTTCGTTAAAACAAAAAATCGTTATCTTCAATCGCATGGACAGATTAAAAGAACTTAAAAATTGTCTAAAGAATTTTGGCAGGGAATGTTAACGGCTTGAAATAAAAGTTATCTGAAACAAAGTAGTTATTTAAACAAACTCCTTCGGAGAAGGGTTGGACTTTTAAAAGTATCCTCAAAAAACGACCCAATTGAAATATTGTATTATTATTATTATCATTACTTTAAAACATGAGCCACAACAAAGTAAACTTTTTGACTTGTATCAATAAATAAAATAACCGTGAAAGCAATAAACAAGTGAACGTCACATCCTAACCAAAAAGCAGACAGATATAATATAGTAATTGTTTATTAGATAAAAAAAGAAGCCTATGAGTTCAATAGTTGCACTGTGAAAAAAAAGTTTATAATACTACCGTTTGTAGATATATTTGTCGTTGACCTTCTCCGGCGTAGACTTACACTATTTTATGCAATTTTGAGTGCGAGGACCTATCAGAATACATATGTGGGCGATGCCTTTACAGCGAAGAAGATGTATACATTTACACACATCCGGAAGAATTCTTGGTATCCATTTTCCATTATAACCATGTAAAATTGGTTATTTTTAACGGGAACAACTATCGCAGTTATCAATATATAATGTCGATTTGCTGTTTAAAACCTGTTCACAAAGATTTAAGTGCAGTCCATGACAGACACATAAGGTTGTAGACATTTTATTCCAATAATCCTTTAAACGCCCACAGGGCTCGTAAGTGAATTTCGCGGAGGTACAAACAATGCGTTTATTCTGTAGGTAAAGGTAGTTATCAGGATATAACAGAATGTAAACTCAAAAACACATAATGTTGAAGTTAAATGACATAAATCTTGTTTCTTATATATTGTCTGTAGATAATAGTTTATCCGATTTATATTGTGTATTGCCAAAGAGATAAGTATACTACAAGAAAACAATCACAACAATAATACACAATAAAATATTGATGGGTTTGTCTTTAACATATTTTATTATTTTAACATGTAAAGCTCAATACCATGAATTACTTACAATCGAGCAGTCGTATAAAGAAAACACGATTTTTTTTACAAAACAAAAAAAAAGAAGAATACATCATAAGTACTTCTTACTATATAAAAGTAATGTTACTCTTGTTATAATATTTGTTTTAAGTCTGGTAAAAACAATAAGGACATATTTTCTACGTTACACAGTGTTGTGCTATTACATATTTCTTTGTGTTTTGATTTAATGACGAACGATTTAAGACATTATTTTATAACTAACCAGATAGGTATCACAATTCATTTAACTCAATATAAACAAATACAAATTTTTACATGCTTTTGAAATCTAAGTTAAATACAAATGTCAATTTAAATTTGTAATACAAACAAAATTTTTCTAGAATATTTAAAAAAAAAAATTGTGAAAAAAGTATTATGGACATTACTCAGTTGAATCGATGGAAACAAAAATTATACTAAGATTAATTAAATAATAATTTACACAAGACGTGACTAGTGATATAATTACAATATTTTTACGTACTAATGTAAATAAATAAACTATCATAAACACTTTTCAAATGCATTTAATTATATACATTGTCACTATTTATACTTACGTATTAAAAATAACTACTAACTGTGTGATTACAAATAGCTTTCTGTCAATTAAGGAGAATTTAATTGGGTATTAGAAAAAAAAAACGTAGCTATAGTAGCTAGTAGGAATGTTAAAAAGCCCTACGACGGTCGATAATGATACGACCAGACTAAAATTAGAAGAAAAACTAAAGAATTTTCGTGTACTAAGAAAAAGAAAATGGCCAGGCTGTATTACAGTGAAAATATTTTTTAATTGATTTATATTTGGTTACAGGTATTGAAATAGCTAAAAAGGTGAGTGTAAACATCAAAGCACAAATAAATAAAAAAAAATCAGTTTTTTTATCGAAAAATATATAAGTTAAATATATTTGATGACATAAAAAATGTAAATGTCGTATTTTTTTTTTANAATTGATTTATATTTGGTTACAGGTATTGAAATAGCTAAAAAGGTGAGTGTAAACATCAAAGCACAAATAAATAAAAAAAAAATCAGTTTTTTTATCGAAAAATATATAAGTTAAATATATTTTATAACATAAAAAATGTAAATGTCGTATTTTTTTTTTACCAATCGTTAATCAAGCTAATTGCACTACACATAATGAATCAAAATGATTGATGGACACTGTAATCGTTCTATTAAAAAGCACTTTATCGATAAAAACCTTAAAAGCAACTCTTTTCAATGAAATATAAACTTTTCAAGACGTAGATCAATTTTTATATTTTTCTAAAGTATTTTTTTTCGGGGGGAATTTAAAGCAAATGAGACACGCGTTGGGATCATGCACTGTTTTTAAATATAAAAAATTAATCTGGATGGTTAAACTTTCTAAACATTTTTAAAAATTCAATACAACGAAAATCCATTAAATACGCTCAAAAAGTTGTANGCAAATGAGACACGCGTTGGGATCATGCACTGTTTTTAAATATAAAAAATTAATCTGGATGGTTAAACTTTCTAAACATTTTGAAAAATTCAATACAACGAAAATCCATTAAATACGCTCAAAAAGTTGTAGAGATATTAACTTTGGAGCGTAGTGTTCAAATTTATTGAATACCAACGAATTTCATAATGCAATCATCTTGTTTGGATAACTTTAAGAACACAATAAAATAAAAAGTTGGTTAGTTTGTATTTCATTAAAATAAATTATGGCCCGTGCTTAAAATGTTGTAATGTGAATTTTCGTTTGAAAAAATTCAAAATTATCTTTTAAAATAAATAGTTTAAATTTGAATTTCTCTATTAATCTCAGTAACACCATGATTTTTTCAATAGTACAATTGACTAAAATAATGTAGGACTAGTTGTGGTACTTCAACAAAAATTTATACACTATACATAGTTTATTACTAATTTTTTTAGCGGCGGTCATACAAAACTCTCTTTGAGGTCGCACTCGTCTACAATACAGCTTTTCATAGCGGCTTGGCTGTTCTGTTTGAGCAACGTGGCCATGGCGTGTCGTCGAACAGATCCATTGTGTTTACCACCAGCTGTCTTAAGCGACCGTTTAGTTGGCGGCGTCCACGGAACGCCGCTTGAATGCGATAGAGTAGTGGTGAGTGTGCCAGCAGCCCGTAACCGAACTAAATCTCTACGGCGGCCGCGTCTTCTGCGTGTTCTTCTGCACTGGCAAAGTTTGCAGAAGCCTCGCCGGAATTTGGACGACATGAGATTGTATAGAATGGGGTTAATGGCCGAGTTTAGGTACACCATAATTCTGGACGAGTAAAGTATTATGTAGTAGTTTTTCATGCCGAGATCTAAAAACACTTCTTCGGGCACCAGTATGATCCACATGGTAAATATTCGGAACGGTAGCAGACACACGAAGAACGAAAGCACCACGGTGGCCAGCATGAGGACTACTTGACGACGAGCTCGTTGGTTGCATGCGCTGTCCGTGCAATTAGTGCCTGGGTCGGCCATCAAGTGCATAGCGATCACTGTATAAAGCACGACCAGTACGAACAGCGGCATGACAAAGAAAAGGCTGATGATGATAGTGAAGAACGCTATTGGCCAAAACGTATTTGCTTTGGTCAGGCAAACCGGTAATTTGGTACCGTCTAAGTACTCCATGTGTTCATGATACTCAGAAATCATTGTGATAGGACTGTGAACAGAAGACAATAACAAAATATTTGGTACAAGTTCCAGCGAAGGTGGTTGTTAATTTTGGTAGTGAAAAAATTATTCTTTTTAAAGAACTAAAATAAAAACTGTACTGGACACAATGTATTAGTAAAATAAATTAA